AAATCTTTTTACATCTACTCATTGGTTTTAATCATCAACCAATCAAAATATCAATTATTTTTTTTTTAATAGCAGCAGTAACATACATCTACTATCTGTTAGGGAAATCAGAAGACGTTTCGTTCTTATATCATTGTTCATCGATACACTTCATACTGACGACATCTATATAAAATATTGAAAGAATAAATAAATTTAGAAGATTTTTACATTATATAATCAAAAGCTAAAAAAGAAACATAATTATCATATGTTTATTAAGAGTAACAAGACGATTTTTATCAATCTGTCAAAATCTACTTTAATGAATGTTCAAGAGAGCAGCACAAGCAAAATATTTTCAATCCTAATAACATATAAATAAACAGAAACAGAAAATGTCTCATTCGTTTATAAAGTTTAATTTGCAATTTTCAAATATTTGAATTTATCATACAGAATCTATTGATTTGAAATCATACATCAAGTGCATAAGTGAAATAGAATATACTAAGAAAAATGTGATTCATCTAGTGTCTAGTAGCATATTAACTTGGATACGCCAGATATTGTATAAAAAAAAACATGAATAGCCTTGGAAATTCTGAAACATCAAAACAAATACCACGAAATATAATTATTAAAAAAACAAATGATGGTTTTGGTTTTAATGTACGTGGTCAAATATTTGAAGGTGGTCAAGTAAAATCTATAAATGGTATACTCTATGGACCATTACAACAAGTATCAGCTGTATCAAATCAAAGTTCAGCTGAAAAAGCTGGTCTATGTATTGGAGATAAAATTCTTCAAGTGTATGTAATGAAATATATTTTTTTGTTTAATAAATTTTATTTATATAAATTTCATTTTAAGAAATAATATTGATGTTGAAGGTGCATCACATAAACAAGTTGTTGATTTAATTAAAAATTGTAATAATGATCTTCATCTTGTTGGTAAAAGAAATATAAAATAATTATTTAAATTTTATTTTAATGAGAATTTTTTTTTTTTTGCTTTCATTTTAAAGTTATTGCTTCAGCTGGTAATGAAAAACATTATGATATATATTCAACTGAAGAATCAAGTGAAAGTTCAAATGATTATACAGATCGACGATCATTGGCAATATCAATACCTGATTATAGTTTATTAGAAACTAATCATGGAAAATTTTATGTAAGTTTTTTTTTAAAAACAATAAAACCTTCCTATAATGGACACCTATGGTACTTTTTAAAAGTGTCCACTATAGGGAGGTTTGGTCTTTTCAAAAAGAGAAGTTTTTCGAAGAAGCAGGCGCATTTTCTAAGGATTTGAAGGGTGTTAGCAAATGAGTTAACTAGCCGGTGCTCCTTGTTACTTCTCTTCTCATGCATTTTTGTTCTTGAAATACAAAAAAATCAACAATTGTTAGAATACAGGAAGGCTCTTTAGTTGATACTGAATAAATGTCCAGTATCGGATAGTGTCCACTATAGGGAGGTTCAGTTCCAGCAAAAAATCCTTCTCGGGACCGAGAAAAAGTGTCCACTATGGGAGGTTTTACTGTATATAAAATCTGAAGTTTTAATGTGTCAATCTTCTTTTTATTTTTAGGTATTTAATATTCATATTGCTGGTAAATTGTCTCTGTTTTGTTTTTCATAGGATTTTATTCTTTTATTATTTATATATAAGGTCGTCATTTATGTTCTCGACGTTATCGAGAATTTGATTCATTACATCAACAATTAAAAAATGAATTTCCAGATTTTCCATTTAGTCCTTTGCCAAAAAAATGGCCATTTAAATTATCTGATCAACAATTAGATGCACGACGACGTGGTCTTGAACAATATCTTGATAAAAGTAAAAAAAAATAAAAAATAAAAGAAATTCTTTTTTTTTTAAGTAATCAAATAAAAAAATGTTTAGTTTGTTCGGTTCGTATTATTAGTGATTGTGATTTAGTACAAGAATTTCTATCGGCTGATGTTTATCAAGTAAAAATTCATAGTTTTATGATTAAAATTTCATTGATATTTTTCTTTATATCTAGGATGATTCTATTTCGATTGATGTTGAAATTAAAATAAAATTACCTGATCAATCAATAACTATGTTTAAAATTAAACATTTATCTACTGCTGATCAAGTCTATGACGTTAGTATCAAAATAATATCATTTCATAAATCATATAAATATAATTTTAGATGATCGTAGAAAAGATTGGTTTACCAGAACAATGTGTACCATATTTTTATCTTTTTGAAATTCTTGATTATACTTTTGGTACGTTTTATAGAGATAAAATGTATCAAATATATTAGAATTAATTTAGAACGAAAACTTCATTTTAATGAATATCCACATCAAATTTATATTCAAAATTGTTGTACAGCCAATACAACTTGTTTATGTTTACGTAAATTTATTTTTTCACCAACTTTAGAAAATCAATTATTAAAATATCCATTAGCACGTAATTATCTTTATCGAGAGGTAAATATATGATGAATAACATCATTTAAAGATATATCAAAAAAAAACAAAAAAATTTCATTCGTAATTTTTTTTCTTTTTGTTTTGACTCAATTCGAGTTTTAAAAATTTCAATAACGAAATATGGACTTTCATTATGCACTCTAGTAATGTTTGCTTACTTATCTTATAATGAGTCATTTTTTTATTGTGTTGTTTTTTGTTTAAAATCTTGATTTTATTTTTGGACAAGTATACTTGTTTTTGTTTGACTAAATTTTAATGAATAACATCATCTTTTATATTTTAAAGTCGAATCAAATTTCCTTTATATAGGCAATTGATCAATTAAATCATTTGGAAAATTTAACTATTGATCAACGTTCAGCTTTAAAAACATTTAATGAAATTGAATATATTAAATATGCACAAACATTTACTGATATTTATAATACAATAACATTTCCATTATGTTTATGTAGTTCACATAAAAATAATGGTTGTGTTATTGTATCATTAAATATTACACGTCTTCGTTTACATGCTTGTTCTACTGATGGAAAATTAGATGAAAATCAAATAGCAGATTTTGATTGGACAATTATTGGACAATATTATCTTGAAAAACAATATTTTATATTTGAATATAAACGTTCAACAATGAATATAACAAAATCAATTAAATTACAAACTTCATTTGGACAATATATGTATGATTGTTTTGAATGTATTCATCGTGAATTACAATTAATAAATAATATGAATCAACAAGATGAATAATAATAAAATTAAGAAAACAATATTTTATGATAATTCTCATGCAATAATCTCGCGCATTGTCTTGGAAACATTTCAATAGATAACTGATGAAATTTTATGCATTAATTTTTGTTTTTTGAGAGTCATCTTTTATTTTTATTCAATGGAAATATTCATTCATTCCGGTTTTGTTTTATTGCAATTAATAATTAATCAAAAAAAAAAAGAAAAATTTTTCTTCTTTTTTTCGCTTTTTATTTTATTTTATTTTTTATCATTTAGAGAGTTATCGTTCGTCTTCTTTTTTTTTTTTATTTGTATATTTACTCAACGATTAAGATAAAAGGTCTATATAAAAATGTATATTTTCATTGTTAGTATATGCGCATTTATTTGTATACATCTAATATATATTTTTTTTTCTATCTTGTCTCTTTTATTTTAACGTAATAAAAAAAGAAGTCGACGTATATTAAAATTAAAGTGAGTTAATATCTTTTTTTCAATGTTTAATAAAACATATAGAGATAAAGTAGTGAAAAAAACCTTAACAATAAGGTATTTATTTATTTTAATAATGTTTAGCAATTTGCTAAAGATCTAGCTAATGATTTCCATGTTCAATAAATATTGTGTTCTGGAAAATGGTATAATTATTTAAAACAAAGATTTCTGAAATATGAAGACAATCGTACTTGATTTATTATAAATCTTGATATAGGATGAATTCAATAGAAAATTTCAATGACAATTTGAGTCAATATCTAGATTTGAACTAGATGGTTAAAATTATAGGAAATATATTGCTATTAAACTGTTTGTCATTACTTTAGGTTGATATGTTATTGTGCAATTCTTAACATTTTAAAATGAAAATAGGGAAATATATTTATTTTTGATCGAATAAGTGATATATTCCCTCTTTTCTTTTTTTTCCTTCAAATGTAAAACATTGTTAGAAGAAAAGGATTTTTACAACTGTTGTTTTGAATAGAATTTTCCATGAAAAAAAAAAGACAATTAATATGAAGATGTTTGTAGTTAAAAAAATCTCACTGATAAAACTGCAATTGTTTCAAAAGTTTCTTTGAACTATGTATAAATTTTTTCTTTGGGTTTAAACTCTTATAATCCTAGATTTGAGTTATACTACACTTAGTGTTTTAATGAATACATGAAAATAATTCAGTCTTTGATGAAAAAATCTATTAGAATTCTTTGTATTGGTTCATAATGATCAACTCAATTTTTCGTCAGATTTTTATAGAAATAATAATCTAGAATCTAATCAAATGATTACTGTTATCATAGCATCAATGAAAGAAAAGTCTGAAAATCGCATTAGAACAGTTGGGACTAGATATGTGCGGGATCAACTTTTTTTTGGTCCCGATCCCGAGAAAAATCTATTTTTTAGACCCAGGCTCGATTAAATTCGGTTTTGGTTCTACTCCCAGTCTTAATAACCTTAATTTTTCTGTTATTTGTCCATATTCAGAGAAGTTGTTGCCGAATCTACCGGTTTTAGATCTGGAATAGTTCTCAAATATTCATATTTCCTATGTTTCTTGTCGACAGCAGACATGTACGAAACTAAGATTGTTTTTCGTTCCTGGTCCCACACATCAGTGTTTTATCCAGGATTTTTTCTCCGGAGGGGCGATTTGAATTTCCGAGGCGGCGAAAAATTATTTTCGGGGGGGGGGGGGGGCAAGTCACACATCTCTATTTGGAACTTCTAATACAGAAGAGAGTTTACGTAATAATCTTTTTGTTTTTGTTTTTCTTTATTTAGATGCATTTTTCCATTCCAGACATAACTGAAATTTCTGCTAAAACCAGTAGTAATCAACAATCTTATACTTTATTTAATATTCATATCAATGGATTTCATCATTGTAGTTTACGTTATTCTCAATTACGTAAATTTAATGAAGAACTTCAACGTTTATTACCAACAGCAATGATAAATATTGAACAATTTCCACCAAAAAAATTTTTTAGTTTAACATCAAAAGAAACCGATGAAAGACGTATTTTACTTGAACATTATTTACAATCGATAGGACAAAATAAATATATATTAACATCATCTTATTTTAATGAATTTTTTTTTAATTCACAATTAGAAACATTTACAAATGAATTACTTGATAATAATCAAAAAATAAATTTAACAATATGTTTATTAAATAATCATGAAATAATTATTGAAAATTTTTCAATTAATAATAATAAAACACATTTATTAGATGCATGTGCATTAAAAATTCAATTACAAAAAGATTTTATATCATTTTTTTCTTTATATTTATATGAACAAAAAGATAATCATTTAAATATACTTCGACCATTATATGATTTTGAATCACCATATATATCATTAAAACAAATTAAAAAAACTTATGAACATTCTTGTATTGTATTAAAAAAATCTTATTGGAATTCTGAATATGATTTAAAATTAATTGATGATCGTCGTGCACGTAATCTTCTTTTTGTTCAAGCACAATATGAAATTGAACAAAGTAATGATTTATATACAAGTAATATATATCAACAATTAGAAATTTTACGTGAAAATAATTCATTTAAAGATTATTTATTATTAGCACGTACATCAAAATTTTATGGTCATATTATAATTAAAAAATGTTCAATACTTTATCCAATAATTGATATACAAAAACAAAAAGTTTCTGAATTTTTATTAGCTATTGGAAATAATGAAATTATTTGTTGTTTAAATTCAAATGATAAAAAGAAAAATCAAGATTTTATATTAAAAGTTACACGTATACGATGTTGGAAAATAAATTGGACTAAACAAGATATGAATATTTCATTAGAATATTTAATTAAAAAAGATACTTTACAATGGATTATTATACATACAGAACAAGCACCATTAATTAGTTCACTTTTACAAAGTATGGTCGATGAAATATTAGCAAATAAAGGAGCTATGACTAATCCAACATCAATACCAGTTACACCACCAACAACAACAACAACTGAACAAGGTTCATCGAAAGTTTTTAATGGACTTGCAACAAGAACAGAATCTGATTTAGAACGATTAAATAATAATGATATATTTGAAAAAGGTGATGGTGATGATGATTTATAGATAATTATTATTTTCATAAGCAATATGAATACTTTTATCTTGTTATCAATGATTTAATTATTTATTTATGTTTTGTTCCTAGTCATCAGTTTTTGTTTTTGTTATAATTGATCGAATGTTCTTCTTATTCTTATTTTTTTTTTGAAATATAATATTTTGAAATAAGGACTGATTGAACAGCAAGAAGGAAAAAGTGAAAATATCATCTTATTTCAATAAACTACAAGGGTATGTCAAAGTTATTCTTTACAGATCTTTGAAATATGGTGAGGTATGAAAATTTCACATTTTCTTCTTTGCTTGTATTTGATGCGAACATCATTGTACTCTCCTTTTCTTGTGTAATATTATTTAAATAATTTTATGAACAGAATTTATATTATCACCGAAATCTTTTTGATTCTTTGGTAGTCAAGAAAATGTATTTATCTAGATTTCATAAATATTTATCAGAATTTAAAAGAGTTTATATTTATATTAGATCATCTTGAAAGAATGGTTTTGTCTTATAGAAATTAGACAAAAAAAAAAGATACACTAATTTTTTCCAAATATTTTTTTTTTTGAAAGTATAAATAATTTCGCTGTTCAATTTCAAATGAGTAAGCTAAATGCTTTTCTTTTTTTAATTAAATTGAAAATTTTCAATCTTTGTATTATCTTGCTGGAAAAATTGTCTTACATTCATAATAATGTAGTTTTGTTTATTTCAAGATGAAATAAAATTCAACAAGTTTTTTTTTTCAGAAAGTAATAGAAATATGAGAAAATGATGATTGTTATTCAACTCTACAATGTTTCTCGTTGATAAAGAATCATATTGAGCTGAAACTTTGTGTAAATGTTGCTGAGGATGCCTTGTTACAAATGAAAAATATTTCAGCTTTCTATCTGATTGAAAAAAAATCCTCACGAAAAACTGAGACATTCTATGAAAATATTGGAATGTATTTTTTTTTTGTATGATACAATGCTACTAGATATGTATCATGGAACAACTGCGGTAATAACAAGAACATGACTCAAAATCATAATGGGTAGTAAATTGCATATCGAAGTAGTTGACCATTAGTTTTCTGACAAAGTGAATGTTTTTTTTTAATGCTCGACTTTTTTTTTTAGGAACCTTAATCATACTTTTAGCTACTTTTGACTTTTCTTTCCGTGCAATTGTAAGAAGTACGCGTAATTTACTGCCGATGAACTCGTACACATGGAGTGAGTGTGGGTGTCGATGACATCGTTCTCTTAAGCTGTATTTACATCTGCACCTACCAACCTACACCCACATCATACTCTCGTTATTATAATACGCAATGTGGTGTATATTTTGACTCAAACAAATTTGATCTTTGCTTTTATGTATTGATTTAACGTGATATACTGTAGAACACAATGACACACAGGCAACAGTAGATTTGTTCTTGTTTTTACTTTCGAAAAAAGTGTAGATAAAACAATATTAAATATTTAGTTTGATTTAACGTGTTTCTTGAGCGATGAGAAAGAGAACATCTGGATATTGATCAGTGGACTCTTTTGAAACATTGATTATATAAAACGGTGATCATCAAAACTTGAAACACTTTCATTTGAAAAAAAATCGAGAAGAGATATAATGAAATATTTCACAGTGATCATTGTAGTTCTTTTCATTGGTTGGAACAGTGCCGCACCATCCGTTCAAGAATTTGTCGATCAAATTCTAGCCCATGTTGACAATAAAGTCGATGCGATTGAGAATAATCCAACATTGTTTGATCGAATCTATCTATTCTATCAGAAATAATATCCTCGTCGATCAATGGCCAAAATGATCGATGTCGATCAAGCCAGACGAGCTGAAATCTTCAAAGCCAATCTAAAAGCAGTACTCGCTCACAACTCTGATCCACACTCGACATTTAAATTAAAAATTAATGCAATGAGTGATTGGACTGATGAAGAATCCGATGCATTACGTACTCGCAATATGATTCTTGGTCCCATGAATGACAATCAACCGATTCAATCACGACAATCAAAGAGAGTCGCTGTTCCAGATCAATACGATTGGACAAATCAAACTCGAGTACCTAATGCGGTAACTCCAGTGATGAATCAACATCATTGCGGTTCATGCTATGCTTTTGCTATGGTTGGAGCTCTTGAAAAAACTTATGCAGAAGTCTACAATATTAGTGACCCATTGAGTCCACAATAAATAATTGATTGTTCGTTTGAAAAAGGATGTGAAGGAGGCAGTTTTGAAGGAACGTTTCAATACATTAAAAAGAATCATGATCGACTCAATTTAGAAAAAGATTATCCATCGACATCAGATGGGAAAAAAACAAATGTCAAAATCCAGGAGGACAAGTTTTATCATACAATTCGACGTTTCGTCTTAATTACCGTCTACTGCCAACGGAAAATGAAGAATATATGAAATGGGCCCACTCTATAGTCCTTACAATGCTGGCAAACGTGAAGGAAATGAAACGATTTTCCATGAAGCATCAATGAAATTCGATTATTATGCGTCAAGTGTCCTTGATGTTCCAGGATGTCCAACTCATCAAAATATGAATCATGCATTAGTTTTGGTTGGTTATGGCACGGAAAATGGAACCGATTATTGGAAAGTGAAAAATTCCTGGGGTGCTGATTGCGGTAATAACGGTTATCTTAAGATCAAGCGAAATGCCAATATGTGCGGTATTGCCTCTTGGCCTCATATTGCTGGATTGTTTTAGAATAGTAATTTATATACTTTTCTCAAAATCAACGAATAAAACAGAAATTGATCGATTAAGAAAAAAACTCTTGATCAAAAGAATATTTATAAATTCTTTTAGCAGATTTTAGATCATTTTAATAAAGTACTGCGAATGCAAATATTGAGCAAAAAATAAACTCCTTGGAATTATACATGGTTCGATAGAACTCGTGACATTCATTACGAATATGTAATTTTATTTTTTTAGACCATGTTTTAGATGTGTGATGATTTTGCAAATATAAAAACCTTCGATAAGAATGAAAATCAGCGATTGTTTTTGAAAATCGAAGGTTATCCTATGTTACACTGACTACTCTTTTTTGTAGCCATTTTATTCGAATTTATCATAAAAAAAGTGAATATGCGCACATGATTTTGAGAAAATTCGATCATCACGGTCCCATATGACTAGTTTAACCAGGCTTGCCTATGATTTGCCTGACATAGAGAACTTGCAAACCTATCTTCTTTTTTTTTTGTAAGACTTAAAATAATCTGTCATATACCATTCGAACCTTCAGATCAAAAAGGACACAAGTTATGCATGATTACTTGATACAGAGGTTTCTTGCATATCTATCTAAGAATAATCGGATGACGAACTATTCATGATAACGATCACTTCTAATTTTATTTGAGACTTGGGCATCTATATATGCCTAGGCATACATACGCACATAATGGGCGAGAGAGACAAGTAGTGAAGAATCTACAAAAGATGCACACGAAATAAAAAGTTCACGGTTATACTCCGAAAGATGACATAGATACAGAGAAGTGGCAAGAAACACAAAATTTTTATTTTATTTTTGAAAGTTATAAATATAACAGTTAAATGAGTAAACAAAGCATGAAAAATAAAGTTTAAGTCGTTGTTAGTCTATAAATACAAGTAAATTTATTAGTGTTCATATCTCTAAGAATGGGTATGGATGTGGGAGTGGACATGGACATAGTCTTCTCTTCATCCACATCCTTATCATTCGATTTTGAACAAAGGAAAAGTGAAAGTCACACTTAATAGAATCTAATATTATCAACTGTTGATTTCACAGGTACTACCGTTTTATACAATGATTATATAACAAATTCACTAACTCAGAAAAATACTCTTTTCTTGACAATATTCATCTAACAGTTAAACGTGCTAAACTTTCAATGGAGTTTATCTTTGATATTTAAATCTTTCTTTCATAAAACATTTATTTCATTTCCGTTTTCTTTAAAATGGTAAATTTTAAAAGTATATTTTTGCAATTTTGTTTTTTATTTTATAAATAATCTATAGCACAAGTAGTAAATGTTCGTTTTCATTTGTTTTTAAACAAGTGTTTCTATTTTTGTAGTTGTTAACAATTGTCTGTTGTTAGTTTCATGAGGCAAAGGTTGGATTGTATGTATATGTGTTTGAGTTAAATCATCACGTTTATAGATTCGTTTAAACAATTGAATCATTTCTTTTCGATAAATACTTCCTGATGCAATAAAAAGAAAGAACGATAAAAAAAATATGCATTGTTGCCACATAACAAAAATCATACGTAAACCTTGAATTAATGGTGTTCGCATTGACGAAAAAAATGTCATTAAAATTTGAATTATTCCAATTGGAAATGTAAATAAAAGATAAGCCATAATTTGTATAAGTAACATTCGAGATAATTGTCCTTCGGTACGACGATTTCTATTAAATCGAATCATAGGTGCAATTCGAGTTAACTGTTGTCGAATATTAACTATTGTCAAAAGACTAAATAAAATCATTAGTAAAAGTGTTAAACCATAATAGATAGTTATTTGACTCGACATATAAATAGTAATATATATATTAGAATATTGAAGACATATATTATTCCAATAGCTGATTGCTAGTAATGGTGACATACAGATAATATAAACAATAATTCCAATACAAATTATCCATCGTGTTGTTTTCATACTACTAATTGAACGAAGTTTAGCTGATTGTGAGCTTGAACAAAAACGATCAATTGAAGCTAAAAGAATCATTAGATTAGCTATTGATGTTGTTGTTTGAAAGATAAAAGTTTGCATTCTACAACCAACAGGAGTATTTGTCCAAAGAATACCATAACTACGTAAAAATTGTAATGGACAAGTGAAACATGCATAAAGTATACTGAATATAGAATAGACAAGAAAATAATGAGTACATGGAAACGAACGAAGACTTCGACGAATTAAAATGAAGATATTTAGAGTATTGCTAACAATTGTAAGTATCAAATGTATTGGTTGAATAAAGATAACTGCATAATTTACTTGTTGAATAAGAATGACTCCACTAGAACTCATATTTTGATAGATTGAATGCAAATGTTTAGAAGAAACAAAAAAAAAACTAATAACTTGTTTGAACAATCTTTTAGTATGACGTATGAAACTATCATACTTATAACACATAACTGTTTATGACATTTCAATCTTCTACAAATTATTAGTGATCTTACAGATTATAATCAAGAGAAGTATTAGAGAGGACTTTTACAATGTTTTGAAAAGAAAATTATCAAGAACGGTTAAATGCGTCGAGTAATTGCGTGTCCAAAACAAACCTGTTTCATTTCAATTTTGAAAATACTGATTTACATATTAAAAGAAATCTAATTAATTTTTATCATTAAAAAAGACAAGAAGACGTCAGATGAAAAAAAGAGACAATGTTTACAGTTCGGTCAAGTTCAGTTCTGGATCAAATTTGAGAACTTAAATTTATTTTCATGTGAAAACATTTGATATTAGTTGTATCATTTGTGTTTGACATTTCTGTACATATAATCATATTAATACAAATATATATATTTCATTCTTTATGATTATTTGATAAGAAAGATTTCATGGAAATTACTAAGTCAACTATCAACAATAAGTGTTTAAACAGATATATCAAACTTAACTTATATTTATCGTCGATCTATGTGGAAAGGTAAATGAACTAGAATTCATACATCACTATATATATTATACTATCAGATCGATTAACTTCTTTGAATAGTCGAATTATCTTTTGCCAATAAATAATTAATCAGAGAATGAATTCATCATTGAATTAATTAGTTTATTTTCTGTGGGAAGGAAAGATACAAATTTCTACCGTATATACTTGAAAACTCCTTTTAGATCGTGTTGCACAGAAGGAAAAAAAATGAATATCTGCTTAAGTCATTTGCACTTCTGTTTGAGAGCGCAGAAATGCTTCAAACATTACTCCTTAACAAATATCACATTTCTACTGAAGAAAAAAAAGCATCCATCTGTCATCAAAAGTTTTCTGAAAGTGAAAAGAGAACATGATGAACATCTGTTTCAGTGTTGTGGACTTCTGTTTGCGAAGATACAAATGATTGAATAATTTCTTTTTTGTGCATCAATGGAGTTTCATTTAATCAAGATCTAAAGGCTATTTAATGTTAATAAAAAGAAAAACTCATAAAACTATGAAATAAAATTTGATTGACAACAATGAGCCTAGATGATATTGTTTGAAAAAATACAATATTAGCTTTATTCTTCTTTTAATGAAACAAAACAGGCAGTAAAGAAATATCTTTCCTGTAGTCTTCACAATATCATAGCGCACTGCCAACACTGATACACTATCTTTTCGTTGGACTTTGCTCGAAGTAATATTAATGACAAAAAAAAGGAATCCACACCCTTGAAAAGCTATGGGCTGCTTCAACGCGTTGATGGTGCTTCAAAGGATGGAGACTTGGCGATTGACATTGAGTAAAATTCGATGATCCTTTCAGAAACACTAGATAAAAACCATTGACATAACTTTATCATTTATCATCGAAAGTTGCAATTAACTTTTCGTTTCGTTCTTATCAATATCACATGACACAAACTATCATTGTGTATGTGCCGCTCGCTTATGTGTCTGTCATATCTTACCGTTCTTCTCTCCACCGTGTGCCTTACACTACTGATCCAAAGCATCTATCTATGCATTTCAATCTCAACGAGAGCTGCGCGTCGAAAAATCGGTGAGCAAGTAATTCGCGAAGGGTGTATGTCAGCAGTATCTTTCAAAGCAATATCGCTCATATGAGAATGAAGTGTTGATGAGTGAATTCGATAATTCGATAATGGCAATACGGTTTTATTTGACGAGCATCTCATTTTGTGTTCCTTCCTAAGATCTATCTGTAGTTACAATTTTCATCGAAGTTAAATGTAGCCATTGATAAACGCTAATTATTTTTACTGTATTTGTTGAAATGCGAAAATCTTATATGATCAAGGATGTCGCAAAGGTTTCAACCTCTCTCAGTAAATTGATGATTTCTATGAGAAAGTTATACATAGCTAATTGATCGAAATATACACTTTTGTAAAGGAAGATTAAAGTTATCACCTAAGAAAAAGACACATAGAAATGCTACAAAAAGAATTTTAATGAATGATCTAAGTGGTGACTGCTTTTAATCTTTTTTGGAAAACTGCTCATTGCTTTTTTCCATTTTTCTTCAGCAAAATTTGTTCTTATATCAATGATTTCTTTTCGGCATCAAGTAACGAATTAAATTCCTATTAACTAAATTTTGTCGAATAATACATCAGAAATTCTCTATTAGCAATACAGTATCTATTAGACTGTGAAGTAAATACTGTTTTTCTTTTTGTAATACAGTGGTAAAAACCTTTGAAAAGATAAATCCAAGAAATTTGAATGTTAGAAAATATATTAGAAACAATAAACTTCATAAAATAATCAGCAAATGTGAGAATTATTATCCAATTAAAATGATAACTCTAATCAATATGCAATCAAGACCAGCAAAATAATCATAACATTGGACTATATTTCTGCCTTTCGAAGTGTCTTTTTTCAAATGTTAGTTCTAATATTTCTCTACAAAAATATATATTTCGATCAATTAACTATCTATAGGTTTCTCGTACGAATCATCGATTCACTGGGAGGCGTCGAGACTTTTGGAACACATTTTATATATAATATTTTGACGCTTCAACAAGTGCAGTAAAAATGATCAGCGTTTATCAATCACTATATGAACTTCGATGAAAATTGTAACTACAGATAGATCTTAGGAAGAAATACAAATTGAGTGATTCGTCAAATCAAAACGTATTACTATTGTCGCATTATCAAGTTCACAACGAATAAGAAGGTCACTCATCATAATTTCATTCTTATATGAGACATATTGACTTAAATAATACTGCTGACATACATTCTTCGCGAACTACTTGCTCACCAATTTTTCGACGCTCAACTCTTGCTGAGATGGTGACTGAAAGGAGGAATACTTTTGACGAGTTGAGTATTGGTACATTTTAATTACGCTATTTATTTTGATTTTCTTTAGGCTTTCTGATGTTCGATTATTGGTTGCTAGCGGTAATCACCATTGTAACGTTTCTCTATATCATTCGTTTTGGACGCAAGCGACACATTGTTACAATATCAGATGAAAAACGACCTCTTGGCAAATGGATTCCAGTCGATTTTAAAGCACCAACTCCGCCTGCCTATCCTAACTGGTCGATCGAAACCACAGAACCGTTGCGCTACCGTCCATTCAAGTACGGACCCGAATATTTTGTCACCATGGGTATTCGTCGTCTAGACTGGGACCATTGGATCGAACTTGACAATCAATGGTTACGCTTTCATAAGGAAAAACTTGCTCGTTTATGTGGAGAACGAGGTTCTCGTTTATGTATGACAGCTCCAGAAGCGTACGATGCCGCACTCGAGACCATGGAGTTAATTAGCGAATATTTAGTTTGTCGCTATCCTTCATTGTTCGAATTCGAATCGAGTACAACACAAAAACAAATTCGAATCAAAGCAACAGGAGAAATTTATCCAATTTACTCTGACAATCCTCTCAAATATGCAGCTTTTCTAATCCAAGATGATCTAGCACTGATGATTGAAGGAGTCGATGGTCAGTATTATCTTAAAGCGGGCGCTATTCCGCTTCCAGGTTTTTGGCGTCTAGAGGATAAATTCAACATGCCACTCGCTGAAATCCACACGTCTGGTAATGTGCCACAATTTCGAGAAAAGTTACAGCTAGGCATGGAACGATTCTTTCAAAAACTGACTCCTGAACGAGCAGTTGTTCGATACAACTATTCCATTCAAACAGACGGTGAACTGTCTTGGTCAAGTTCGATTGGATCTGAAGATACGTTTGGTCTCGGACGAAAAGATGCACGATTGAATCCTTCTATTGAAAGCCTACATTTTCGTAGTGAGAGGCAGGCACTTCGACGATTGCCACGTAGCGGAGCCATTCTTTTCACAGTTCGTACCTATTTTCTGCCAATCATCGATATTGCTCAAGAACCAGGTGTTCCCGGACGATTAGCCTCAGCCCTACGAAGCTGGCCTGATGAAATCGTACGTCACAAGGGAAGAAAAGTCTACGAAAACGTTCTTTTGAAATATCTCGACGAAAAGCACGCAGAGCAGTGTGCCAATGGTTTCGAATTAACTAATTTAAATACATACCCATTTTAAGATACAGAAGGCAGATGAGTGAATCGATAACTAAAATAAAGAGATGACCTACCACGTGGGCCAGAATTATTGCGATATTTTTGTTTTATATATATATCAGTACTGTACAGCGTCATGGAAAAGCAGCTAGTGGGTCCGTCATTTCCGTTTGGTGAAAAATTCTGGTCATGAGTTTGGTACAGAAATAAAAGGATAGGGTGCGGGTGTTAGAGAAGATAATATTAACACCCACACTCACACTCGACCAATATTAAAAACCATATGTTAGTTGCTCATATGGCTAGTCAAAGCTTTATAAAATCTCTTCTCATGACAATGAACTAGAATCTGTAACACACGGTAAATATTTTACTTGCAACCATTAGATTTGCTTCTAATACGATGGGACCTAAACGGTAAGCTTTATTATGAAGCAAAAGCATGAATTATACGGAATACTTGTAATGCTTGTAAAAAAAACTTACTGAAAAATATTCTTACTTCTCACTTTTTATCTTTCATCTATCATTTTCCACTACTCATGAATATCGTCATCATTGCACTACATATGGTGCATTGTTATTGACTCTTCTTACTTGGACGCTGATTACATTCATAATCCAATCTTTATAATTTCGAATACGCATATTTATTCTGATTTGCACATGAAAATAAGAATATTACCACTAGTTAGTGGAACGAAACCAATGAATCATAAGATTGTTGGTAATTTCACAATGACGATACTAATCGCAATATGTTCTTAAACTATTTATGAGGAACAAAGAGGTATATACCCATGTCAACCAATCTGGATTGTCGATTTCGTTTTTTTTCTTTCTCTAGGCTAATATTGATAATAAAAAATTGTTTCCTTTTCTTCTTCCTCCGTAATATTTTTACTTTGACTTTTACCTCAAGCTATTGCTCTGTCTGCCACGTGTTGTGGTAGTTTTATCGATAGAAACAACACATACAACATAAAAAGGAAGCAATAATGTTCTTCAGCTCTCATTTTTTTTTTGTTTCTCTTACTACCGTAAAGGTAAGTTTTTATGATAGTGAGTTGTTAATATTTCGTTTGCTGGAAAATAGACTTTCTTGTTTTTATTTTTATCTTAATCTATAAATAACAATATTATTCTTTCGTGTGAATTGAAGAAAGGGTATAGTTTACTTCTCAAAAGATGATAGAGAACCACACATTTTCCAGATCTTGACATGTAGAATACTTTTTTAAGCAGTGACCTTGAATTTTGCTTAGAATTCTTCAAATTGGTTCTGATGGTCTTGGTGATAAGTAGAAGTGTCATTTTTTTTGTTAATGTACACATAAATTAAATAAAAAGTTAATATAACTTGATATCTCTAGTGATAAGTCGTTATTTTCTTATAGATCATTCTCATCCACAGTTGTATCGGTTATGAGCTGATCTATAAAAAAAAAAGTTTAAAAAAAGGCATTTATAAGCGTTTGAATGTGCGGAGTTGTTTTGGGTGTGGGTGTGGGTGTG